AGACTTGCCTGGGTTCCCTCCTGGGCTTCTGAAAGTGTAGCAGGCAGGGTGGCCCAGGGGACTCTGAGAGTTGGAATTTGCCAGGGAATAGCAAGGCCCACAGCAGTGTAACATTCCCCAAGAACTTCAGCTTTGTCATGATATGGCTTGGCAAGTGAAGCCCAGATAAATATGGGCTTTTGTTTTCTTTGATTTTTAAAAATTTTATTGAGGTATAATTTACATAGAACAAATGTATCCATTTTAGGGGTTCAGTTCCATGAGGTTTTACAAAAGTACACATCTGAACCATCATCGAAATGAAGGATACAGGTGACTCTTAATCCTACTTTGTTCATTGAGCCTTTTTCTTTGCCAACCCTTAAAAAACTGAGCATTCATTCCATAACTCCACAGAAGATACACATACACACCCCCCAACACATCTACAATCTCACACTTGAAAAATTATTACTTGTCTGGAAAAACTCCAATCACTCATGTTGATAAAAATGACTGAATGTATTTTTTTTTTTTTTTTTAAAAATCCAGGTCTGGATGAATAACAAAAATGAGAAATTTGAGCTTTAGAAAGAATTCTCTGGTATAGATACAAACTACTGAAAATTGAAACTTGGAAAACATGCCATGTCATCTCCATCACAATAATTCTATTGCTTTGTGCATTTATGTTTGAGAAAACTTTTTTTTTTTTGGTAAAGAGACAAAGTGCCAAAAAAGAATTTGCTTTCAATGAAAGAATGTTCATGACTCAATTGGAAAACTCACAAAACTGAATACAAGAACTATGTCCCTTAAACCCAGTATGATTGAAAATAGAGAACTGTCCTTTCCAGCATCTTCACTGTGAACTGTCTGGGATTATTTTTCTTCTTGGTTATATATTTCTTTCTGTGTTTTTGCCTTCATATCTTTTTATGCCTTACAGTTCAGTTGAATGTCTACTATGTGCCAGGCACTATGTGAGGCTGAGGATCGGGTGGTGAGAAGGCAAGACTCTGCCCTGAAGGCTCTGCCCTTTAGGGACTTATGGCCTTTGCTTCCCATGTCATAAATCCACTCTCACTTTCATCCCACTTCTAGTGCATCTGCAGCTCTCTCTGCAAAGTACGGCTATAAATGAGAAACGTGGAAAAGAGAAGGGAGTAGAACAAGGGAGGAAAAAAATTACCCAGTAACACTTTTCCATTTGATGAAGACTAGCAATTTTATTTTATCCATTTGTCAGGGCTAGGGTTCATGGTAGAAGAAGATTTAAAAAATCCAAATCAATAAAAAGCAAAAACCCAACTAGAATAGCCCAATACCCGAGTGCTTGCCTGAAATATAAACTCTCCCTGAGCAGCTCTGCCTACAGTAGGGACTGCGAAAGCCACAGAAAGAAATTAAAGCCAAAGCCAGTGCCAACACGAGGTGCCAGAAGCTTCCAGTAATTACATGACATTTCTTACATGTCAGAAATTTGGAAAAGAGTATAAACTATTTCTGATGGCCATGGTATTATTATGAAGACCCTGGAGCAGTGGTTTACTAAATATGGATAGTATGATAGTCACCAGTTGTAAATCTGATATATTCTAGTGCTGAATGTGGTCACCGGGAATCTGAAGAATAGGCCTTTTGAATCCTTTTCAATTAGAGTAGCTTCTTCATAAAAACTCTGAAAATACGATTGTGGTTTTAAAGAAATGAAAACAATTTGTAAGAATAGACATTTACTTCTTGACCAGTGACTTCTGTGATTTCTCAAGATCCAGCAGCTCACTGAAATACCGCATCGACTCTTTGAGACCTAAAATTTCTATATTAGCATCAGACACTAGACTCTACAAGGCACCTGATAGTAATGTGGGGTTTCTGGTCAGCTGTGATTATAAATGTGGCACTTGGGACACAGCAATGTGAGGCTCCCTTCTTGAGACCAAAGGACGATGTGGATGTATTGGCACAGAAGTTCTTTGCTCTTGGCTTCGTGGAAGAAAGACTCAAGAAATTCGCATTGCAGGTTGTTATGAGAAATTTGAAATAGACAAGGGACAAAGCCTTACAATTGCTACCACACTGGGTATCAAAGGTTACACCTTGTGAAAAAAATTTTTTTTTTTTTAAATAATAATGAAGTACAGGGACACCTGGCCAAGACTGAAAATTTGAAACTGACTTCATGCAGCAGAAAACAATTTATCCTATGCTAATCCCTTTTAGTGCTAAATTGCCTTCAATAACTGGGCATCAAATACTAGGTAATTCATCAAGTATAGGAAAATGGTGACTTAAAATTTATAAAATTATGAAATCTAAAAAATCATTTTTATCTTTATGTCAAACTCAATGACAAATTTTATATACATATATTTTCTATGTATATCTCAAGGCTATGTATAAAGAAGGTTAATTACAGGAAACAGAACATTTTCCACTGCTCCTTTGAAACAAGGAAGGAAAGAAAATGGTACAGAATGAAATATCTGAGATGAAGAAAATTCTCCAGTAATCTCTCCCTAACAGAACACTATTTGGATATTAGGTGACAAGAGAGAAAATCAGAACGAAATAATGGCCTTCCACATAAAAGAATTATGGTAAGTTGACATTAGGTTGAGCTGCAGTCCAGTCAAAATGAAAGAAGTTCTGAGATGAGCCTGTCACAGAGTCTCTAGCAGAGGACAGTCAATATGTGTTTTCAGGCTGTCTTCCTCATCACCAGCGTGCAGTAACTTGAACTGAGAATTGGCTTTTTATGGAGATTTATTACAATAGCATTGCCATTCGAGAATAGGCGGCTATCATCATAAATAAAGAACAGACACAAAGGGATATGAAGATCCAAGACAGAGAGAGAATTTGTCAAGGTGGGTAAATCATGAACTTATATTGCAAATAAATACACACTACTAAAGCCATCTCTCATTAGGAGAAACTCTTTTTTTCAGCGTTGGAAAAACCAAGTCAAGCTGCTGTGTGTTCGAATTCCCTGACATTGTCCAAGGCACCCTTGGCCTTCCTAGAGCTCAGAAAGCAACGCCTGGACCATCCGTGTATGGTGCACACAGGCTGCTCTGATGAACAAAAGATGTGGGTTCCCATGACTGCCACGCCTGCTGTGGCCTGAGGGTTGATACTTAGGATCAACAGTGCTGATTAGGCTTTCTTTCTGCAAGAGACGAAAAGCTACCGAAAACTACTTCAAAGTTCTTCCTGAAATATGAAGGGGGAGAAACAGCTGACTCCTTATTCCCCACACTTGCCCTAAAAGTTGAACAGGCAGGGCCTATGTGTCTCCCCACATTTCCTTTGGACATTGAAATCTGTGTAAGCGAACGTGTTTCCATGTCCAGCTTTGTTGTTTCAGCTGCTGGCAGAGCTGGGGATATCAATTACTCCCTGCCTGGAGATGTGACCTGCACCAACACCTCCTGCCTTACAGCTGGCCTCCTCCTTCCTGACTGCTCCCATTTAAATAAATGCCTGTGGCTTCTTCTCCAGGCTACCATTCCTGCCTTCTCATCCCCACTAAATGATTCATTAGGTTGGATTAACCCTTTAAAAACTACTATTTACCAAAGGGTCCCTGGGGACTCTCTCACACACACTCCATCACTTTTTGCTATTATAAACAGCCGGTCCCAGCAGGGTGGAATCCACTTTAAGGCTACTCAGGTTGACAATGTGGGTTTTGTTAGCCCCAATTCACTTAAAAGCCCAAGACAGCATTTACTGCGTGAGATGGGGCAGACACATCTTCATCTTGCAGCCTACACATTCCAAATATGCCTCTTGCCATAAACACCTAAGCAGGCATTCCACAAAAAATACTGATCCAGGAAGGAGCAACGAATCACACCACGGCTGTGGGGGTGGGAAGGACCTGTTTTCATGCCTTCACCACCCAGGCCTCCTTTTTGGCTGGTGCCATTTTCTGCCCGTAATCAGCTGTGTGCACAATGAGCAGTGCCTGCCAAATGGCCATTTGTGGGCGCAATTAGACACCTGTGCCTTCAAACAAGTTGCAAGCACCTAATTGTGTCTGCATGCAGCCACTTGTGGGTGCAATTATCCAGAAATCCAGGTGTGCCTGGTATTATGTACAATTTAAGGGGAAAAAAGTGTCCTCCAAAAAAGGAGGCTTAGGTTGAATGTGTGCCCTTCAAACTTACTCAGCAGAGCAGTTCAGCAGAAGCTACCACCGCTATGTATATATGGAGCCTTTTTGCTTTGGAGTCTATAGCAGTGCCATCCAATTGAAAAGAATGCAAGTCACATACATCATTTAACATTTTCTAGTACCCACATTCAAAAGAAAAATGAAACTAATTTTAGTGATTTATTTTTCTAACCCAATATATCCAAAGTATTATCATTTCAACATGTAATCAATATAGAAATAATTGATATTTAACATTCTTTTTTTCTGGTAGGAAGTCTTGGAACCTGGCGTGTATTTTACATTTAAAGTATATCACAATGAGGACAAGTCACATTTAAGTGCTTGAGAGCCCCACGTGCTCACGGCTACCATATTGGATAGTGTGGGCCTACAAAGAATTATTTTCAATCATGATTAACTGCTTGTAATTTTTAACCTCTAAGTATTTTTCTAAGTGCTTATGAAATCAGGTTTCAAAGACATAATATTTGAAAATGTCCTCCAGTGTCTTAGGGTTGTCTGAGTTTAGGAATCAAAGGTGAGGAATTCTGATTCTGCAATCTATTCCCAGTAGACTCTCAAGCTCATGACACAAGCATTGGTTAAATGAAGGTTCAAAGCCACCTGTGGCACTCTTTTGTTTCACAAAAAGAATACATGAAAAGCATATACTGTGCATTTTCGGGCCTGTATACATACTCCCCGAATCAAGAGCAATCAATTTCACACACTTTTGTAACAAATTATGTTTCTATACAATGAGGTATTCACCCCCACAATCACCCCCATTCTCCATTCCTTTCCCTCCTACCCTGGGAATGGCCAGTTCAACAGTCCAGCTGACATGGGGAACTGTGGGATAGAATATTTCTTTCTTGTCCCTTCTTTTTTCCTTGTCTGCATCAGTGGCAAGAGAGTTGAGCATGCCTGGCTGTCCTCTGAGTGTCACTGATCCACTCCTCAGTCACCTCCAGCAGAGGCAACACCCATTCCTGACTAGCTCCTTTCTCCTCCATCTGCCTCTCCCACCCCGCCTTAGACACTCAAGAAAAGCTTTCCTTGTTTCTCATGGTTCTATTTGCTCTTTGTGCCACTGAAAAAAACACTCGAGGAAAAGGCAATAATATGGTCTACAGAATTACACAAATATATATCCCAAGGGAACCAAAGTCACGGACATGGAGAGTGGCCAGATGCCTCCTCAAGAACCTCAACCACAGTTTCCAGCCCCTTCCTCCTCCTCTAACTAAACCTGCCTTTTCTCAAGCACAATTACTAAAATAGATGAAACATGATTACTTATGCAATATTAAGTTTTTGCTTTAATTACCAGCATTGTAATGGTATTCTTACAGGTAATATTTTTTCATTCTGCTTTCTTTCATTACTTTTAATTTTTGTACTGGAGTCTAGTGTGTCGAGGCAAGAGGTCGTGAATGACCCTGAGTCTATTATCTATAGAAAATGCCCAGGCTGGGGCAGGTGTGTCAGCTGATGTCCCACAGCCACGATATTTTTAAAACAATTTTCATGTGGACAGCAGGTCAATTATGTAATGAACTAAACAGGTTTGTGCTGGCCTGGCAGTCTGCTCACTGGACAGTGTATCATTTTTATGAGCAATGCATTTCAAGTTCCAGGACACTTGCAATATACATGCAGGCTGTAGAAACAGCCCATTTAAGATTGAGGACTGACTGCAGGAGGGAGGGATTTGGGCTGGCTAATCCATGCCTTCTCATCTAGCTATTTCCAAGTGGCAACCAGAAATGAAGACAGCAGGACCAGCCTCCCCACCTGGAGGCCAGGCCATGGCAGGTGGTCTTGGACTAGCTCCAAACCCAATCCACAAAAGCTGCCTCAAGGAGATAACCTTCATGTGCTTGAAAAGTGGAGTTGTGCCTTCTTTCCACCATCTTTCTAATCTAAGAAAATCAAACTAAATTTTTTAGACTGCTCAGGTGTCTTTAAATGAAAGCATTAGTTATGCTCACCCCTATTCAAATACTTGAAATGTGAGCATTTTCTCAAAGACACACATTTCCAAAAGTATCCAGGTACTTTATACTCAGATTGCAGTCAAAACTTACTTTATATTACAAGTGACTGTCAGTATGAAATAGGATAATTTATAGTTAAATTTGTCATGGCAATTCTAAAGGCGGCTATTATAATTATTGTTTCATCGACAAGAGTAGCTTTTTTCCAAGGTATTTTAGTGTCTTATGCCTTCTCATGATTCAACAAATGAAGAATGGAACAACCATCTGTGGGATGGTTGAAATATAGGACGGTTTTAAATCTCTCTTATATGACTATCATTAAGAGATCCATTTGTGTTTCTAAGTTTCATTCTTTGTGATTAATTCTTTTAAAAAAACTCCAGTCAGAGTGAGACATATAAAGCCACCATTTTTTTTTTTTTTTTTTACGCACGCACTGAAACGGATTTCTTGAATATTTGCGTAATTAAAAAATGGGCATTAGCATAGCTTTGGGTGCCAAATTTGAGACAGCAAGTCACTGATGCATGTTCTCAACTTGGCCCTGGTCGTGGACCCTGAGTCCTAGCCATGAAGCAATATCAGTATGCCCTCCTGTTACAGCGTCACCACTCACATGTCAACCCCATGATTACAGATGTCAGAGAAGAGACAGGGGAAGCCTGCTTTATTATGGGCATGAATGATAGCGAGAGACTGGACCTTCCAGGGGCACTCTGCTAAAATGGGTGATTCAGAGATGCTGCGCCTCATACTTGAAAAAAGATCTAAATTTATTACGTTTAATGTTTAATATAAATCACCAAACCTGAATGTGTTATAAAAATGAGCTAAATGCTGCTTAACAGACATTATTAAAGAGTCTTAAGTATGGAGCCATTTCTAATTGGTAAAAGTTCACAGATGAACACTTCTTGCAAGTACTCATTTTTAAGAAATATTTCTTCCAGGAACAAGGCCCTTATTTCAGTGTGAGATATAATCCGGGGGACAGATCTCTTTACGAAAAGTATCGTCTTTAAGTTCACAAGAAGGAATCTCAGTGAAATCTATAATTTAAACCTTATTCCTCACTTACTTTAATATGAAACAAAATTTAGTTTTAAAAATAATTAAGAACGCAATGATCAACAGTCCAAGGTAGCATGCATGGAATAAAACTGCTACGTGAGGCACTGGGTGTCAAGAGCTAATCGGCTATTATTAGTCTAAAAAAATTAAAAGAATAGTGTAGAAAATTATCTGTGCTGTTTTTATCATCCTGATTAAAGGATATAAACATGGATAATTTAAAATTAATCTGTGAAGGAATATGCTGTCATTTCGATTAGAGAAAAGAGAATCATCCTCTAGTTGTCCCACCCCAGCAAAGCCACCACCTTAAACTAGGAAGTTTGGTCTCCAGAATGGGACGAGTGCAGTAAACCAATTTTCAGCCACAAAATGCGATTTGCAAAATTGGTTTGAAGTAGCGCTGGCTGGATACCACCTCTGCAGGGGAGTGAAATTAAAACTGTCATCCATTCACACAAAGTCCCAGTAGCTTGGCAGCCTCTGGCGCACGCTGGTTCACAACCACAGCTGCCTTCCCTGTCTGCACAAAGACACCCCTTTGGAGACTCTGTCCTTTCACTTATTTACTAGAATTCTCAAACTGATAATGGAAAGGTACCTCTGGGTCACAGAGGAGATTTTATCTCGCAGTAGAAGGACTAGACAGCCAAGGAAAACTGGCTATGCCACAATGGCCTTTTCCCCCCTTATATGGGCCACTCGGATTTTTCTATTAATACCTTAACTTCACTATCCTCCTCCAACCCATCTTCATTTTCAAAATGCAGGTTCTGAACCACTCTCCTTTCTGTTTTGAAAAGAGAATTCAGGGCCCACAAAAATAAACAATCAGAATGCTAGGAAGAGAAATATGTTTTCTTATAGCTTCAAGAATCTGTTCTGTGGGAATATTTACATTTTTATATTTTACTGATTTAGTTGTTCATTATATTATATGTGATTTTATAGTAGATAAACTTTATTATAACATAGCTCATTATAATCAATTTTAAAAACCAAATATTTACCAAGTATCTACTATCTAGCTAGGTACTAGGCAGAGGATAGAGAAAAGTCTTAAACAGTAAGACATGGTCCTTACCCTCAAAAAGCGTATACATTCTGGTTGGGGAGATAAGCTAAAAAATGCATGAAAAAACCCAAAGATAATTTGACAGGATATGTCAATGCAAGATTCTATGCAAGAATGACATAGATTTTGACTTTCTGCAAAATTCAATCACATAATTTTTACATAACAGTAAAATCCAGATGTAATATGGCCAGCTTGAAAGGTGGATTTTGGGCCATCATAATGATACAGGGTTTTGTATGATTCTACTTTTATCATGCATTCTTATTATTCTGGCTTTTATTACTTTATCTTATAAGGATGTGTATTTTATGTATGTTTTACAGTAGACAAAACTTCATCTGCTTGTGTACTTTGTCTATAATTTAACTGCAGTTTTCTGTACAGGTGCCAAGGTGATTGTAAGGTTTATAGATGTGCCTCTCCTAACTTCTTAAATGTCACCAACATGTGCAAGATGATGGTCTGGTTTTTTAGGGTGGGATCTTGTTCTTTAAATGCACATGGATATAGCATTGACAAGGGATATAAAACTCTGGCTTTGAATGACATGGTATTAGTTAAATTCTAGCTAACTACATCATTATTTAGAGTTTAACTATAGTCAATCAACATATGGAAGTTCACCTGATCTAACACAGGTAACATTTGTCAAGGTAAGGAGAGGATTGGAGAGGAGCAGAGTCTGTAGACATCAATTCCCAGGGCAGTTGTTGGGGCTCACCAGTGGAAGAGCAGTTGCTTGGTGGCCAGCGGAATGGCCCCTTGTGAATATTCCTGGTAAGAGACTGGATACAAGTTGCTAAAGAGTGAACAGACCTCGATGCAGAGAACAATCCAATGAGGTGGCATCTGCATTCTCTCCACCAAAGCAGAATGGTTAGATATATACCTGCAGCCTAAGCTGTGTCCTAATAGTGTTGTTCTTATCAATGTTCTAGAAACACATGTCCACAAAATCAACAAACTTCTGTCTTTGGAAAGCAATGGGTGGTTCTGAACCAACCCACAAGACAGGCCAAATACTCAGGAAGTTACCCAGGTAGCTTTGAAACCCAATTGCATTAAATCATTTGCCAAGAGCACAGAGACTTGAACATTCTTGGAGACACTGTTAACATAGCAAAGATCCCTTTAAAAGAAATGTTTCCACAGTGTTTTTCATCTCAGGGGAAAGAAAAATACTCTGCCAACATTATTCATTTTTAAGCTATCCTTGTGGAAGTATTTAAATATGTTACCTACTTATTCTGCTTTTATTCTTTGTTCTCACTTATACATACATTTTTATTTGGAAATTTGGACCAGATGAGATTTGAATATAAAATCCATGTACATTTGCTGTCTCTTTTAAAATTCACCTATCACCCACTGTGCATCATTTTTTTCTGAATTAGTACCTATTTACAGTTTTGTTTCCCCATTTTGTGCCACATTTTTAAGGCTAAACATGAAGAAAAATATTTTCCTCGAACACTTGCTTTTATAGGCCCTGATGGCTATTGTTTGGTTGGTTTTTGAAATGGCAAACAGGAACTCAAAAATTCACTCAAATCCTAGTTTGTAAGGACAAGAAAAAGAAAGAAAAAGGCAGTTATAAAAGTTGGGAAGGAAAAATTAAAACTGTCTTTATTTGCAGGTGACATGGTCATTTATGTAGAAAATCTGAAAGAATTGACAAAGAAGTTCCTGGAACGAATAAGTGATAGTCGTAAGGCTGCAGGAGACAAGGTTAATATACAAAAGTCAATCACTTTTCTGTTTACCAGCAATGAACAAGTATGAAAAACACAATACTATTTACATCAGCATCGTCCCAATGGAATATTTATGTATAAATTTTAAAAAAATGTTCAAGATCTATAAGGAAAAGTACATCATTCTGGTGAAGAAACCAAGGAACTAAATAAATGGAGAGATAGCCCACTTTTTTGGATAGAAAGACTCAATACTGTCAAGATATCAGCTCTTCCAAGCTTGATCTATAGATTCAATGCAATCACAATAAAAATTCCAGAAAGTTATTTTGTGGATATTGACAAACAGATTCTAAAGTTTACATGCAGAGGCAAAAGACCAAGAATAGCCAACAAAATATTGAAAAAGAACAAGGTTGGAGAACTGACACTGCCTAACTTTAAGGTTTATTATAAAGCTATAGTAATCATGACATCGTAGTATTGGTGAAAGAATAGAAAAACAGATCAATCAAACAGAATAGAGAACCCAGAAACAGACCCATATAAATATAGTCAATTGACCATTGATGAAGAACCAAAGGCAATACCATGGAGAAAAGAGAGTCTTTTCAACCAATGATGCTGGAACAACTGGACATCCACGTGTGAAAAAAATGAATCTAGACACACACTTTATAATCTTCACAAAAGTTAACTCAAACAAAATAGCTTAGAGATCTAGATGTAAAATGCAAAACCATAAAATGCCCAGAAGATAAAATAGGAGAAAACTTAGATGACCAGGCTTTGGTGATACCTTTTTAGATATACCAAATAGACAATCCATGAATTGATAAGCTAAACTTTATTAAAATTAAAAACTTCTGCTCTGTGAAAGAAAATGTCAAGAGAATGAAAAGAGAAGCCACAGACTGAGAAAATATATTTGCAAAAGACACATCTGATAAAGGACCGTTATCCAAAATATACAAAGAACTCTTAAAACTCCACAATAACAAAACAAATACCGAATTAAAATATGGGCCAAGGACCTTAACAGACACCTCACCGAAGCAGATCTAGAGATGGTAAATAAGCATATGAAAAGATGCTCTATATCATATATCACCAGGGAAATGCAACTTAAAACAATAATGAGATACCACTATGAATCTATTAGAATGGCCACAGTTGGGAAAATTGACAACAACAAATACTGAAAAGGATGTGGAGCAACAGGGACTATCATGTACTGTAACTCTCATGGTGGCAATTCAGAGTGGTACAGCCACTTTGGAAGACAGTTTTGTGGTTTCTTGCAAAACTACATATAGTTTCACCATATGATCCAGCAATCACATTCCTTGGTGTTTATCCAAAAGAGCTGAAAACTCATGTCCACACAAAAACTTTCTCACAGATGTTCACAGCAGCTTTATTCATAATTGTCAAAACTAGGAGGCAACTAAGATGTCCTTTAGTAAGTGAATGAATAAATAAATAAACTATGGTATATCCAGACACTGGAATATTCAGCCTTAGAAAGAAATGAGCTATTCAAGCCAAAAAGGACATGGAGGAACCTTAAATGTATATTACTAAGTGAAAGGAAGCCAAAAAAGGCTGTATGATTCCAACTACCTGACATTCTGGAAAAGGCAGAACTATGGAGACAGTGAAAAGTTGCCCGGGGTTGGGGTGGCAGTAGGGGGTGAACAGGCAGAGCACAGGGGATTTTTAGTACAGTGAGAATACTCTGTATGATACTATTAATATAATGATGGATATGTGTCATTATGCATTTGTCCAAACCCATAGAATGTACAACAGCAAGAGAAAACACTAATGTCAACTATGGATTTTGGGTGACTATGATGTGTCCATGTAGGTTCATCAATTCAAACAACTGTACCACTCTGGTGCGAGATGTTGATCACGGGGGAGGCTATGTGCATATATGCACAGAGGGGGTTAATAAGAAATCTCTGTACCTTCCTCTCAAATGTGTTGAGAACCCAAAACTACTCAAGCAAATAAACAAACAAATGAATAAACACATAAGCCTTGCTCTGCTAGCGCTGACAAATAGTTAAAGAGGCAGCTGGTGGCTTTCTCCCCTTGTCCACTAAGGGTGCTTGTGAGATGGGCCCCAGATGAGCCTTTCTTTGCAGGACAGAGGAAGCCACAGCTTCTATCTTTAAGTCCCCAAATGCTGCCTTTGGTGCGACATCTCTGTTTTTACTCCTCAGTGGCTTCTGGCCCTTGCAGCTCCTCATGATTCCCTGCTCTCCAGCCCTCCTCCTTATCAACACAGAGAAGAAGAAGATATTATCATATACATTTAACCCAGGAATTCCCATTTTAAACTCTATCTGTACCTGTGAAGGGAAAGGCTTTGTCCCGTTAAATGTTCAGGCAGCCTGTTAACAATGATGTGAAGTTGCCCCCAGTTAGAGTGCTGAGTCAATGAGTCTTCACCGATTCCTGCAAATGCTAGAAAATGGAGGTATTTACTACCAGAAATGACCAGTGTGTCTGAGAAGAACAGATGACATAAACAAGCACTGTTGATACAGATCTCTTTTGGAATTATTTTAGAGGAGCAACTGGCACTACTATGGTAGCCTGGTAACAGTCACATCCAGCTGGACCCTGTGAACGACAAGGCTCACCTGAAGCACAGACTGGGGCCATTTACCTGGAAACCTCTTCCTGGAACCTGCTGCAGCTGGCACCAGAGGACACCTTGACTTGCAGAAAACATGGAGTGACATGTTTAATCCTGTTTGTTGTCTGCCTTTGCTGAGTTCTCTCCAGGCAATCCATGAACTCTCTATCCTTTTAATTTTATGCTTTTCACATTCCTAAAGAATGAAGTTCTCACCATGGAGTTGCTATGAGGGTTACTGGTTTAGTAAATTTCAATTTCACTTTTCTTTCTAAAAACAACTTTTGCTGCACAGAGTATATTATATTGTAACTGTGGTTTCTGAAATTCCGAAATAAGTGTTTTATCTTTAAGGACGTTTTTGCTATTCTGTGGTGAAGTTTTCAGCACCTTTCAGTACATGAAAATTTCTCCTTTTTCCTCCAATATATAATTTCTTCCATATTTTCAGATACTTACATCGTCTAAGCCAATTTGTTGGCACATTTTGCCTCATACCACAGAGATAAACCATGGTATGGATTTTAAGTGCTAACAGAGAAAGAACTATTAATTTGTCTAGTCTGCAACCTGTGTAGTTTTCCACTTCTCATGGAGTATAAATTTCCTGATTTTCATTATCAATGCTTTATTAAGTATTGACATTCCTGGTAGGAAAAAAGTTGGCATGTTTTAGAGATGATTATTTCCTATTTGTTATTTTCCCATTGCTTGAATAGTCTTAATGGTGAGCAGTGATAGAGCCTCAATTTAGAGACATCTGCATATTTGAAATCCCTTTTTCTGCCAGAAAAACCAAATACAGCAAAAGACTGTTTCAGGGATTCGGTTTAAATTCTAGGGATTATGCAGTTTTATAAATCTAAGCTTCCTTTTTGTACATACTTTTCAAATCTTAGGTGGTTCACAGAGATGACTTCTAGTTCTCTGTGTGCCATCTCATCACACTCCAGGGCCCAGAACTGTCACTGCCTTCCCGCCGAGCCTTGCATGCCTTCCCTCCTCATCCACCAAGGACAATAGCACCATCCACCCCATTGCCCCTGCCCTGGACTCCAGAGTTATCTTTGCCCCCCTCCCCTCGATACACGTGTCTAATCAGCATCAACTCAGGTCAGTTCCCCTCCTTCACAGCAGAGACGTCTCTTCCCTTCCTGGCCTTCCCGCTTACTGCCTCACTTCAGACTCTCAGCACCTTCCACAGGCATTACATCAACAGCTTCACATTGACCTTCCTGATTCCAGTCTTGGCCCTCCAATTTACTCTCCATGAAATTAGCAAGGGTTGTTTTCCTACAGTGCAAATCTAACCAAACCATTCCCAAGCTTAGAGGCCTCTGATGGCTGAGGCCTTCTGGGTAGACTCAAACTCCCTAGCATGTTGCACAAAGTGCTACACATCTTGCCACTTCCTCACCTCAAATGCAACGTACACAAATAAAATTTCAGCGCCTATTCTGCTCTATCACAATCATCTACTTGTTTCTCCTCTACTCTGTAACCAGGCTATCAGAGATTAAGCTATATATCTCTAGAGACAAGGACTGTGTTCTATTGAAGAGCATCTCCTGTGTGCCTAGCACAGTGCCAGCTATTAATATATAGTATTGTGTAACTAAAAGTTTACTGAATTAGAGAATTGATAAATGAAATGTCAACTCTACCTCCATGATCTTGTCCAACTTTAGAACAGTAGATGGAATAGCATTCAAAAACTCAACTTCCCTAATTTCCTCTGCTCACCTGAGCTGCCCAGTTAACACAGTCATGGGTTTCCTTCCTTCCATCAAAGCTGGCCTTGTCCCCATCCTTTCTTTGCTTGGCTTCAGCCAGATACTCTGTAACTTTCCTCCTATGCGTAAAGTGCACTAAATCGAACTCTAATCTTCTTAAAGAGTTAATGTGTCTCCCTAAATGCCTAATTTACTACCAGAGAGTGACTTAGGCACTGGGGAGAATCTGGCTCATTATTTAATAGCCAATAAGGCCAGCTGTTTCATTTCAAGAAATTAATGGTCTTTAAAACCTTTCCATATTGTACCAACTGCTCTTCTCGATGGAGAGCCAAGTGACTTTTATTAGGAAGGTTGATAAAATCCAAACCCTGTTAGTCCTGCTCTAGCCTTCTTCATAATACCACTAGAGTCTTCTGGGACATCTGGTTATTTTTGTTTTATTCTCCCTGTTGATTCTTTGAGATATTTTCTTTGTTGGGTTTTCTTTGGTTGCTCCCTTGGAGACTGCAAAAGGTGGTCTGACAGCTGCACTCCATGGCCTGACGGCGTGACCCCCGGCCTTCTTGACTTCTTAAGTAAGAATGCCTTTCAGCATTAAGTCTAATTTGGCTGAGACAGTGAGCAGCTTGTTACTTTCAGGTTAGCTCACTCCACCTTTAGCCACCTGAAATTACTCATATGTAAAAAAAAAAAAAAAAATTCCCATTCAGAGGATGTTTTATGTAACCATCTTTCTCTTATTAATATCCCACCATTAGGCAAAAAGGTCAAAAAAAGGCTAGATGAGGCCACAAATCCATATTATGAGACAAAGATGTAGCGGCCCTTAAATCTGTAGCCATTGATCAGTGTTTGGTTTGAGGACTGGCTTTGGGGAGTAAGAATGAATAAAATACAGCTGCCCCCACCAGCAGCTGGTGTCCCCATTCTTTTCAGATACAAACTATTGCCAGTGGCACATGAACAACTATATTATAATATCCTACCTACATTAAATGGATTATTTGTCTAAATTGTATATGGCAGGGTGGCTATGGTCTAATATTCATATTTTACTTTCTTTACATTCCCAGGGGTTTTATGCCGCCATAATTTACAGCGGGTTGACAGAGCGCTTTTTGTTCTGCTGGAGGCTGCTGCCTGCTTACTCTCGTGAGCACTTCCTTTCCCTCTCTGCTTTCTGGGGCTGAGAACAGGATGTTATTTTTCAAAAGCTGGGAAGACAGCAAGCCCTTCTTTAGGTAGCGCTGGTGGACTCACAAGCCTGGCCTCTGAAACTCGCACAGGTTCTGTGTTCCCGGGTGCTGGTGGGAGTGGCGGCGGGGAGTGGGAGCGAGCACGCGGCCGAGCGTGTGATGCCACTCAGCCTGCTTTCCAGGATTTATGTGCACGGAAGGTTTGTTCCCTTTAAAAGCAGACCTAAAGGCATCACCCAGAGTAGAAGTATACATGCACACATTATGCTGTGTGGTGCTGAAAGGTAGGCCGTAATAAGGTTTCTTGCTAAAACTAGTACATTTGCTCTGATATTGGAGACACCCTTCCACACAGCGAGCTACTGTATGAATATTTTTCTTCTAATAAATTTTTACAAAGGAAATAATCTTTATGAAGTCATTGTCGTTTGGTGGGGAAAAAAAAAGTACTAGCCCCACGTAGGAATCATAATGTGAGGATTTTAAAAAATGACCCCTTTTGGAAGGGTTTACAGTAAATCCCTCTAATTCAGTAAGTCTCCAATTTATAGGTTCACAAAACTCTCTCTCTCACCCTTTCCCCCAGGGATATGTACAAAATATTATTCATGAAAAATGTGGCATGTAATTTCAGAGAATTTGAGGATCCCCTGGAACCAATCAATATCAATTTAGATATTCATAGGCCCCAGATTAAGAACCCCTTCTCTCATATTTCCTTTGGGGTTAGCCAAATTAACACATATACTATCTCAAGACAAGTCTCCTTCCAGCAAATCTCTCTCTCTTCCTCACAGAAATGGAAAGAGCAACTCCCAGTCGTAGAAATGCCGTCTTTGATTAGCACACTTGGAGCTCTATCAACCAGATCTGAGGATGACAGGAATGGACATTCCAGGAGATGTGGGGCATGTGCGTCAGCTCTACAGGTACCTCTTGCTCATGCTGCAGAAGGAAATAGCTGGCAGAAGGTCAAGGAGAGCACATATTTTGCAAGAGGAAGTTCCACCTTGGGAAAGAAGCCCATGTGGGTAAACTTGACTGTTGCCAGGACACTGAGGACCTGGTACTCTCTCACATTCCAAGGGTCCAGGTCAGAATGTTTCAGGACACTTTGTATCCTGACACAGGCCATCATCCCAGTGAGAGCAAGATGTAAATTGACTCCGGTTGATGCGTGCCAATAAACTGCACAGATTGTCTTCTACAATGTTTGCCTGAAGGCATTTAACATGGTTGTCTAGACCATTGTGTATTCTTTACGGTTATACAATAACAATATCACAGTTGATATTGCTTGAAACTGTTATGAAAGTACATTACTGCTTAGGATGACATGTGTGTTCAAAGTGTTCCTGCTGTAGAAGTGCCAAAATAAATGAAATCATAAAATAATTAGAACATATGGCTATTTATTTCATAATGGAAGATAACCTTTTGCATATAACAGCAAAAAAATCAGAAGGCAAAAAAGATCAAAGATTTAAAATGTAAAAATTATAAATTTCTGTTCGCCATCAGTTAAATTAAAATAATTTATAATATGACAAAGTGTTAATGTCCTTAATATATGAAGAGCTCTAGTAAATAGAGAAGGAAAAGACCAACACCTGGACAGAAATGATATGCAGATAAGCTACAAAAACTGAAAAACATACAAATTCTAATGAACATATGAGAAAAATTCAGCCTCCTAGGAGTGAAGGAATTATAAATTGAAATAGTTTGTGGTCATAATTGTTACTTTTTAACCTATTAAATTGACATAGTCATTCAAAAATGACTTATACTCAGTGCTGGTGGGGGTGTAAATTGGTACAACCTTTTTGGAGGTCAATCTGGCAATTTATATCAGGAACTTAAAAAATATTCACAGTTTTTGACCTGGTAATTACATGCTAGGAATTTATCCAGTAGCCTGCTTGACTTATGACACATACTTTTTGTTCTAAGAAGATGAGCCTAAGCCTCTTAATTGAACTGGATATGATTGATCCAATTTTATAGGTTTCATGGATATAATACTGCATCTTAGCATAAAGCCTAATGTCGAAGGGACACTGTGGAGACTGCAGGAGCCACACGACCAGGGCCATGAGACTAATCCTTTTTTTTTTTGAGACAGAGTCTCACTTTGTTGCCCAGGCTAGAGTGAGTGCCGTGGCATCAGGCTAGCTCACAGCAACCTCAAATTCCTAGGCTCAAGCAATCCTTCTGCCTCAGCCTCCTGAGTAGCTGGGACTACAGGCATGCGCCACCATGCCTGGCTATTTTTTCTATATATTTATAGAATTGCCAATATTCTTTCTATTTATAGATAGAACGGTTCTTGCTCTTGCTCAGGCTGGTTTTCAAACACTAGAGCAACAACATCCACCTTGGCCTCCCAGAGTGCTAGGATTACAGGAGTGAGCCACTGCACCCAGCCTAGACTAATCCTTGAATTTGGCCAAGTTCCTATTGTTCTTAATTGAAGCAAAGGTGGCATGTTGAAATCCACGCAAAACTTTACCTTGTGTGCATTTACAGCGGTGATCAAAGGTAAAGTCACTACAGACACTCAAACCACCATCATTCATTAATGGACATACTTGGGTTAGGCACCTCAGTACCACATTTCCATTTTCCTGAGGCTTTCCATAATTCCAGGGGTATCTCAGAGGTGCTTCTATATTTCAGTGATGTTTTGAGCATGGGCTGCACAGAATATGAACTTGTCAAAGACTGTACTTCATTTTTATAAACTGTGTATTTGAGTAAAACAGAGAGAAACCAGAAATATATTCTTCTAGGGCCACTCTCTTGGGTGCCCTGTTGATGCGATTGGTATTTACTGTGTTCCATCCAAGACATGACCAATTCACAGAGCACCTGCTCCAATAGCAAAGTGGAGGCATCAAGACTATCTGAGCTACTTCCTAATCACATATTTTTCTCGTATGGAAGGCAAGCAGGACTGATCTGCTTTGACCCTGGCCCTTCATACTCACTAGTTGTCACAGCATTGCTGTGTGCTCACTTATCTCCTCATCACTTATGTCCACTGTGGTCCTCACTCCAAGTATTTGTGCTTTCTGGTCTGAGGCTGTCACCAGTGCACTAGACAGGCAGAAGTGCTGTGGAGTTGGCACCTTAGGAGCAACCCTTAGCCAGTGACAATGGGATTGAAAGATAAAAAGATAAATACCTCTGTATTCTTGCCCCTCAGGTGGGACAAGGTGTGAGTGCATTTCGCACCATCTCTAGAAGGCCCTAGCAGAACTGAGGAACCTGCCCCTGTGCCTCAACAGAGCAGTGCCTGCTCCTTAACGCATAAATGCACTCTATGCTGGCTTTCTTCCCTTCCCTTCCTCACTCCCCACCCCAATGCTTCCTGGGATCTCTTCCCCTCTAAAAAATTTTGCATTTAAATCCTTGTCTCAGAGTCTGTTTCTGGGAGGAAATCCAGCCTAAGACACCAACACGAGGACTCTTTTTGCTTTTGATTTTGTACTAAAAAATTATGAGAATTTTCGCTAGTCTTTGTTATTGTTGCTATTCCAAAAATAGTACAAGGAACTCCCTATATCCTTTATCCAAATTTACCCATTATTTCTATTTTGTCCCATTTACTTTATCATTCATTCTTTTTTCTTTCATTCTGTTTACTTCCCCTCCATCCTCCCTCTTTCTCTCTCTCTCTCTCTCTATGCACGCACACACATACATATTATATACACATACTAGTATCTCCTGAACTATTTGAGAGTAAATTGGATATTTGTGCCTCTTTATCCTTAAATATTTTAGTGTATACTTATGAAGAAGAGGGATACTACATTTTATAAGTATAGTACAGATACTAAAATGATATCCATGGTTTCTTCTTACCCTTATGCTTGTATTTTTATGGGGTCAGGGCTATGCTTACTCACAGAGTGTCAGACGACATTAAGTCACCATTTTTTTCCTACTTGAGAAAAATATCATTTCCAGAATGAAATTACACAGACAGTGATAGATAAGGCTTTGTTGTCCTTATCAGCAGTGAAGACATGTCACAACCTCTGAAGGGTTGCCCAGGCCTTTGCAATTTGCATTGTCAACCTGCCTCTGTTTCTATTTTCCAGGTACAAGACTGTGGTTTATGACATCATCACTCCTGATGTGCCCTGGGGTCTTTGGCTCAGCTGTCACGACACACATTTGTCTCACATCCTGGATCAGCCTCTGCAATTCCCATCCATGCTGAGCTGCCTCTACTGCACATTTCAGTGGCCTCTTTCTGGAAGCCCAAAAGGTACCTCGAATGTAACATGGCCCAGCCCAGACTCATAATCCCCCATCTCACCCTCTCTTGGCCGTTCTCTCCTGGGGAGCACCATCGCCCATGCTGTTGTGTGTGGACTGACTCTCGACACCTGGCTTCACTTTCCCCCACACCCCCACGTGCAATCCATCCATCATCAATTTCTGTCAGTGTTTTCAACCATCTTTCTCCAATTCTGCTATCATCACCACCACCTTTGTACTCACTACAAACATCTTTCTCCTGAACTACAGCAGAAACCTCTGACCTGGTCTGTAGCCACTCCAGCCTCCTTCCAAACTCTTCTCTACCCTGCAGCTAAAAAGAAAAAATTTGGAACACAAATCTGATCATGTCTTCTTTCTGCTTACAACCCATCAAAGGTTTCTAATTAGTCTTTGAATAAATACAAGCATCCTGAACTTGACCCCCCATGGGCTGACTTCCACCCACCTCTCCTGCTCACCTCTTGCCATCTCTGTTGCAGCCACACAGCTTTCCTCGGGCCTCTGCTCGCTGTGCTCTCTCCCACCATGGGGCTGCTGCACCTGTTCTTCTCTCTGCCCGAATGTTCCTTGTTTCTTCTCTCTAATCTCCTTGTTCTTTTCTCTAATCTCCTTCAGATGATAACTCATGTCTCCGTCCCTCCCTTGATTTGGTTCCATTTCATATTGTATTTTCTCAAATCACATGTCTTTCCTTTTTTGTAAAGGGCAGAGTTGCGATTTTTTGTTTTACGCTTTGTGACTGCCTAATTACTATCTTCTCCACTAGATTCTAAGCTCCATCGGACAGAGACTGTGTTTGTGTGGGCTTATCATGATATCCTCACCACCTACAGAGAGTATCAGACTCAGTAGGTCATCAGTAATTAGTGGCTAAATGTAGAAGTAAGGAAGGGTAGGCGACTTTTTCCTCGCTCATCTATTTAAGGCTAATAAAGTTGCGCAGATAGCTTTGACTGACCTTTTTTCTTTTAATTAGATATGAAATATGTGACCAGAAAAAGGACAAACTGAGGAATTCAAGCTGTTGACAAGATGGTAACATAAGTGACTTGTTTATAACCGACCCACAGAAGGCAGTCATCACATTATCTTGGCCACATGACAGGCAGCACATCCGGAAACCACTCATATAAAACATTGGCTAGAAGTTCTGTCTTATATATGGACTTGATTTTGATGTCGGACAAAACTGTAAAAGGGTGTTTGTTGCACAGTCTGGACCATTTAGCATAAATTGTCAAGGCAGCGACATATCAGTGGAAAGTGACCAAGAAGCCTGATAGAAACTCCATTCTGATTTTATATGACTGTTTCCAGGAAAGAAAAAAAAAAAACAAAAAAAACTTCGCTGTGGCAAATTCCTTCTCTAAATAGCTCAACATGATTATTTTCCATCTTAAACCTCTGCCATAACAATTACAGCTCTTTCCAGTACCTTGTAAAAAAAACCAGGATGTCACGCGCTATCATTTCTGGAAATGGGTCTGCCTTTGCCTGAGCTGTATGTGAGCAGTTTGTGGGCAGAAACCTTATCTGAGCAGTCACCACCCTGTCTTCACTTGCAAGCAATGGCCAAGTTGAAAGGGGACTAATGATGCCTCCGAGCGTGTTGCTGGTGGAGACTGGCCAACGAGAATCGCCAGGTTCCTACATATTTAACATGTCACTCCACGTTCAGCCATAAAGGTCAGTTCTGCTGATTGTCGAGTGGGACAACCCTCTGTTGGGACAAGCCCCAACCACTTCTATCTCGGCTTAATTGAAGACTTGGAATATGTGCAGGAACACATTCTGCAGGCTGCTCTTTCTGTACCAACCCTTCTTGCATTTGTACCACAAATGTTTGCCTTTGCAGGAAATAATGGAGCTGGATCGAGGTGCTTCCTGGCACGAGGAGGGGGGTCGTTGGGGCCTGTGTCACATGAGATCCAGGGCACAGATGGGCTCATGTGGCACCACCAGGATAGTCCACTGCCAAAGCTCTCATCTCTGGACTTGAAGCAGCAGAGTCAGTAGAAGCAATCCTCCTGCAGTTATCTGGCATTTGCATCTCGGCCATGTCCCCTGAGGATCTGCCAGAGGAACCAACAATACTTTCCTGGCTACAAAAATTGCTGACGTGGAACCAACTGGTATATATATATATATATACACCAGTTTATATATATATATATAATTTTTTTTTAACACACTAGCATAATACAGAGGCAGTCTTTTTAAAAAAAGTGCCATTTAAAAGATATTTCAGCTGGAGGAAAGTGGGTGTTTATATTTGCTAAGGGGGTACTCAGAAGGCTGAGGCAGGAGGAGCACTTGAGCCCAGGAGCCCAGGAGTGAGCTATGATCACACCACTACACTCCAGCCTGGATGACAGCAAAAAAAAAAAATATATATATTGCTAAGGCAAGCTCTGTGGTTCAATGGTTGCTATTCTTAGTAATTTTGAATGCCCATGTCTATTGGGGGTTTGTTCATTTTAATGTTCATCTAAAAATATATACTGCAGTGACATAGGGTGGGATGGGGACAGTGAGGGCTGCCTCAGGAAAGGATGATCACTGAATGCTTCCCTTCCTGTTTCCATCCAGCCTCGCACAAGACAACTTGATGTAGTAGAGAGCCCAGAGGTTTCAGAGGTAGAAAGGACTGGATTGAATCGAAAAGGTGCCACTTGCTCTGTGTTCAGCCTTAATCACACCACTTTGCACCTCTAAGCCTCAGGTTTATCATACATAAAATAGGGATAATATTTATTTCAAGATTGTTACAAGAAATAAATGAGATGACATATTTAAAGAACCCACCAGGGTTCTTGGAGCATAAAAAAGACTCAAAAAATGCTGGCTTCTTCCCCCATGCCCGATTCCAAGTGTTCTGTGGGAGAACAGAGCAGAGTGCAATCTGGGGGCTGGGGACTTGGTGGCATGTGGCGTACACAGCAGCTGTGCCCTGCACAGCCCTAGGGGGAGCCACTCACATCCATGTTTATCCTCCCACTAGGAACAGAATAATTTTTGTAAGGAAAATGCGGCTATCTTATTTTTACTTAGGGAAAATTCATCATAGTGATAATAAGAATAAAAACTATGTGATTCAAAACTATTTTTCTTTTTCCCTACTATTTGTTTTGTACTTTATTACTTTTTCATAACCTGCAGGGCAGGTTCCAACATTTCCCATTTTCTTTGGAACCCTAAAAGACATTCATATGGAACATGGATACAATTTTAATGTGGTCAAGGCTATCTTCTATCCCACAAACTCATGTTACTCAAGAAAAAAGGTGACATATCCCAACCTCTCCTTCCCTTGTCAGCCTTGATGGTGTGGTGAAGTTTGAAATAAAAAAGGCTTTGAAAACCAGAAAGACCTGGGTTTGGATTCTGATCTTGACTCTGTCACTTTGAGAATGAATTTTCCCTTTTATTGAAGGAGCATCATAATGACAACTGCCCAGTTGGATGGTGAGGGTACAATGACACAAGGCATGTAGAATGCAGATGTAGCAGGTCCTCTATATATTCCACAACCCACTCCGCCTTCAATTTTCTTAGTTTGATTTGTAAATACAATTGACTAGTTTAGGAATAAACATGACATCTTTGAAACAATGTGCATGTAGATTTTAGTATATAAAAGTGGAAAATAAATCTAGTGATTTCACTATTAATTATTCTCATTGAATAATATCATCTATTTGTGCATTTGGTGAGGCACTAACTTTTTATCCAAGGTGCTTACAAGTTTTAGTGATGTAATATCATTTTACATAATCATAAAGCACAGACCTCAAACATAGAAATCAGAAATTATAATAAATTAACAAACTTGGTTTATTCATAGCATCCCTGCCGGTAGTAGGCTGATAACAGGATACTGGTATACAGCAAACCCAGGAGCCTGGGCCAAGGGACAGTGCAAGTGGTGAGTTATACAGAAGATAGGGAGGCAGGTGCAGAATGAGAGTGTGCATGGTGCAAAACAGCGGAGCACTGTCAAAAAAGTCACTACCATAATTCCAAGGCACTGAGCACTTGGAGGCAGATGGCAGAATGGCAGTAAAACAGGCAAACATCAAGAACTACGAAAGAACATGAGAAATGAGAGATAGAGTAACACTTTTAATTATGCAGATGCCTAGGCACAAAACAACCTTCTTTTCTTTTGGCTGCAGAAATTAGAAATACATGCTATATAACTTCTTTAAGTATGTGCAGGAGGGAAAACATGGAAGTCAGCTTATCAAGCTTAATATATGTCAAGTCCAAGGTAATGCCTGATTTGTTGCTCTTGAAATAGCAGGCACATACTCTTCCTTTCAAAAAGAGTACTTAGCCAACAAATACGTACCAGTTTAGAATTTTCCATGGGAAACGTGAGAAAAAGATCTATGGAATTTAATATATGTGGTCCATCAAGATTCAGTTAAAATGACTTTGGGGACATCAGTACTGTAATGGGTCTTAACATGTTTTAAATCACTAATATTCTAACTAAACTCATAATGGAGGCCTTTGACTGAATAATTAATATCAAATATTCTAACTGGCATCAAGGATATATTGGCTATGAGGAAATGATGGAAAGTTTGATTAAAATGGACTTTTATCTGAGGAACTAAGTGACATAAAAATGATATGGCAGTAGCATTAACCCCCTGATCTCAGCTGTTTGGCATCTTAAAGTGATATTACATGCTAGGGCTTTCTGCATTTTCAGGAAGTTTGAGTTGACAATGGACACATCTTAATCTTACAAAGAATTGAATTGCTGCTAATTCATCATTTTGTCTTAAGCATTCACACTGAGGTGGTGTCAGAGGGCCAGTCAAACAGGCAGCTGTCTCTACTTGGAAGGGGAGCGAGACACTAGATTTTCAACATAAGGAAGCTGAGGAGAAAGGATGAGAAAGCTTAATTTGCTGGGGTAAAAGAGCTTCATTGATTTTCAAAAGGCATTAAACCCTATCACATGTGGACGTGGAAGATACGATCTAGATAATTTCTTCCCCTCATCTTAGTGTTCCTGCAAAGCCAGAGCAGCACTTCTTAGCCACAGAAAGGTGGCTTTTCTTGGGGAGGAAGGTCCTTCAGATAAAGCGACACCATCAGGAAGGTGTCAGAGAACTGGCCACGATTCACACAGTGTCTAGAATAGACGACGTGCAACAGGCCATCGTCTGAGGGCTTGAGGAGAAGAAGAAGGAGAGGGCTTCTACTTATAGCAGAAACAGCCTAAACCTCTGGTAGAACATTCTGCTGGCTGCCATGCTGTAGGCAGAAGCACACATATTCTCATGAAGCATCTTATTTGACAAGCTGGCCTTGTGGCAGAGAGAAGTACTCAGGCAGCATGGAGACGTTTTAATGTCTGTAGACTCAGACAGCCAACCCCCTCCCCACACCCACACACACACACACACACACACACACACACCCACACACACACCCACCCTACTGTTCTGATTGGTCAAGTCTTCTCTGAACTCATTACTATCCAGATTAGCTTCAGCCAAAGACCAGTACTGTGGCATTGCTGGAAATCTTTGCTGAACTCGAGTGTCACTGCCATCTGCTTAGTAAGTGCTATAAAATAATGCAAGATTGGCAAAGGCAAATTCAATAGCAGTGAGCACAGCAGATGTTCAGTGGAGAAGAGAACAAGAGAAATCTGAGATGGAGGGTGCCTTTAAGAAGCAAGGTAAATGACAGAAAAGGATACAGAGGAGAGCCAGTCAAAATGCTTTGGGGATAATATAATGTAGTAGATAGCGTGCAGGTCGCAAGCTTCAACCTTAGCCATGCACTTGTGATTGGAGTTTTCCTGAGGATGGGCATATGTAGACAAGGAGGCTGAAACCAACAAAAGGAACCAACTGAAAGGTTGAAGTGAAGTGTGCTCTGATGTCGTGTTCTTCTGCTCTGAATGCAATCACACCCAATACAAAAACACTTGGAATACACTTAGAAAGCCAATTTATTTTGGGTTCCTAGGAAGCAAGCATAAGCTGTTTGCTCCTTCTAAAGTTGCTCTTTCTATCTGAAATAAGCCCTAGCATGTTGCTTCCTGTTACACAGCCAAGTTGAAAGCTGCTTGGGATGTTCAGAGAGACGTTTTCTTCTCCCGAGTAACTTATGTAACATGGGTTAGAGTAACATCAGGACTGGAAGTTGAATTCAGCCTGAGCAGGCCTTTGTCCCTCATCAGTCTTAGGAAAGGGAGTCTTTCTCTCCACGGGAGTGTTCATGTAGCTCTTCACCAGAAAATTTATTGTGATCTTTTTTCTTCTGGGTAGATATCATTCTTAATCTTAAAGAACCAAAGTACCAATTTGCAGACACCGTTTTTTCAACTCTCAGGAGTGTTCTAACAAAACAGGATTCTCTTTTTGGTAGGCAAAGTATATCGTTTAATGTTCATCTAGCAATTGCGCATTAAACTGTTCATATTTCAAATGAAGGACCCAAGGGAAGGAAAAAGAATTGATTTTATGACAGCATTACAGAGATGGTTGAAAGGCATTACTTAACCTGTATATTAGTAATGTTCTGTGTCATATACAAAGATGAATAAGACACAGTCCCTGTCCTCAAAGGCACTTACAGTTTAGAGAGAAAGACAAACAGGTGAGTAAATACTACAAAGGAGTATGATGATCGCAGAGCATGGCTCTGATGCTGAGTTTCCTAACCCAGCTGCAGTGGTTACCGGAACAGACTCCCTGCCAGACAGGTTGGGTTCAAATCCCAGCTCTGCCAGGCTGTTGAACTCAGGCAATTTTACTTAATCTCTCCATACCTGTACCTCTGCCTATGAAATGGGGATGCTATTAGGTCACCATCAGGATGCTATTAGGTCACAGTGCTGCTGTGAGCATTAAGTCAGTCAGTAGATGCAAGGCCTTTAGAACAGTGCCCAGCACACAGTAAGTGCTCAATCAAGATGAACTATTTAGAAGCTTAAACTCTATTGATTTCAGGGAAAAGAGACATTCTCATGGAAAAATCATTATTTATCTTGGAAAACAGTACCCTAACACAAACTGTCAAGAAATCTTGAGAAGATTTATTTATTTTTTTTAAATTTCAGAATATTATGGGAGTATAAACATAAACATTTTGGTTACATGACTTGCTTTGAGTCAAAGTTATGAGAGTGTCCATCACCCATATAATGTGCATTGTACCCGTTAGGTGTG